GCCCACCAACATAGCCATTGTGCTAACTGCTGGTCCCGACACTTCATAATATTTACAAGGGATTTTCCTGTAAGCAAATTTTTTTTTAACTTCTGATAATATTGAAGATCGACTTGCCTTGCTAAATTTATTTTAAGTTTCATTTTTAGTTGATGAGTAAGTTAAAATATCTGACATTTTTTGCTAAACTGAAAATCTTAAAACTTCTCCAGACTGTTTTCTATTTATCACAAGAAAGCATTTATAGTCTAGTTTTACTGAGCCTTCAGGTGTAAAAATGATCAAGCTTATCCAACAGTATGAAAATGGAATAATTACCCCTTTAATTTAGAACAGTGTTTTCAAATTGAAATTATATTACCCACAAAATCATTAATCTAAAACTAGTCTTACAAGTCAATAAAGACAATGTTTTAAATGTCAAAATTGTTGCTGCAAATATCAATATATTATGATATGAATGCTTTACTTATTTTTAAGAGGATGAATTATTTTCAGTGCTTTTAAATTTGGGGGTAAGGCTCAAATAAATGAAACAGAGCTTTATTTAGCTCTGCTAAACTTAACAAGGGACAAGACAGGTGAAGGAGTGGCTATGTAAGTAAGGGACTTTTCCAGGGCATAATGAATCCCAGTATTTCACCTTGTCTATATAGCTTGGATTGCATTGAAAGAAAAATTAGTATCTCTGACATGCCTTTTAACTTTCACTCTGCTCTGAACATCACAGCAGTAGAATATTATTATCTTTATTTTTCTTATTGAATTTTATGTTCTTATGTAGCTATCTAGGCTTGATTGATATGCCATGAAAATTTCACAGTTTTATTTTTTTCCTATGTAAGCAGTTGATAACCTGATCTCTATAGTTAACTATTTCTTTCAATTAATCTATTGTCTGTGAAGTCAAGATAAGATATATTGATTGCTTATTTATAGTGCTATAATGTAACCCTCAAATATATTACTTGTAGACCTCTAAATTTTTTTATTTCTCATTTCATTTATTATATTTTTCCACAATGGAATAAAAAACGCTTTATGAGAAGTGCCTTTTTTCCCAAAAAAGTTGTTTCAAGATCTCAAAATTATTATCTCTAAAGATGAAAATAAAACGAGTTCCTAAAAATGACCAATGTGTGGCAGGATAAAGAGACTCTAATGGAAGGAACCAACATGCCCTATTGAAGATAAGGTATGGTAAGGTCTCAGCTTGTTTAAAATCAGTCTTACAATAGAAAATATTTCTGAGGAAAATTTTTCAAACAGAAGTTCACACTCTAGTGTTTTGTTTCTTAATTTGCAAGAGGGCACATGCACTTGCCAGACGGTACATGCACTTGTCAGACAGAGGCAGAGTGTAAGAAAGATTCTGCAAAGAGGCATGGTCAAGCCACAATCCCTTCTCCAGCCTGTCAAGATTTTGGTCACATGTGCACAGATGCCTGGCATGCTTTTCACAACTCTGGGTGCTGGATACGAATGACATGGTCAGCCATGTGGTATCCAGCACCCCTAACCATGAGACCCTAGGCTTTGTCCTCAAATTCTGTCTTGACGCTGTGATATTTATTAATGGAACTATATGGGAAGGGGATATATTTACTAAATTTGGGGTTACAATTCCCATGCATGCCCAGTATATCTTTTTTGCTTAATTAATAGTGATTCCTAAGTAATTTCAAAACACATACTTTTCATTTACTCCATCTCATGGCATAGATAAATATATTAGAAGGTGATGTCAAAATTACCATTGATCTTGATTCATTATAAAAATTCAACCCCTAACACCCAGTGGATGTGTAAGTGAACATTAATAATAGAGACTGCTAGTCACAGTAATTGTCTATAGCCATACTTAATGTTGTATAGTTTATTTAGTTTTTCATGTGCTCTAAACTCTCTGTATAAAGTTGTTAGTTGTCAATAAGACATGGTTAATTGTATATTCTTCTGACTTTTGAATATATTTAACATAGCATTTATTAATCATAGCACTTAAACTAACATATTGTAATTTCTTATTTCTGTTTATATCATCACCCCTCCCAGCCATGTATGAAACTTTGAGCTAATCTTAGAGAAACTGTCTGTAAGGGCAATAAGGCATATATTAATTTCTCAATAACTAAATGAAATGTTATTTTAAGACAAGCATCTGGGTCAGCAGTGATACCAATAATTTTCCTTTCAATGTTTCACAGAATTCTGCAATTTACTCATGTTGAAAATAACATTCATTGGGACTGGTAGATGGCATGGTGGTTAAGGGCATGGTACTCCCACATGGCCAACCACTGTATGAGTCCCAGAACTAGTATCTTGCTTTCTCACTTTCTTTCTTTCTCTTTCTCTGTCCCTCTCTGGTCAAATTTAAATCAATCAATCAATCAAAAAGAAAATAACATTCATTAACATTCACTCAGGACTTGCCACATAATAAGACCTGGTTAAAAGCTTTGCATGTCAGGGTCAACTTAAAGATCTTGATTCAAATCTTGGCCTGAAACTTGAAAAAGATGCATGGGTATACAGGCCCGAAATCCAACAGATGGAGAAATGGAGGAGAAGGGAGCTGTGTGACCTTTCCCCATTGGGGTTTGCTTCCTCTTTCCCCCCCCCCCTTTCTCTTTCTGTTTCTCTTCGGTGAGTACATGTACTCTCCGGCGATTGAAAGAAAAAGCAGTTTTGCCAGTCACATCATATCTAATTCTCGCAACTCTGAGGTAATGCTACTGTCTTCTCTTGAAAGAGGAGGAAATAATAGATGCTTAGGTCACTTGTCCTCGTCTGTCTGACTAGAGTTCAAGCTTTAGGTTGCTGAGTACAACTTCTTTGATGAAAAATTAAGTTAAACCTGAACTAACCCATGTCCAGTGCACTCTAGTAAGTTAATAAATACTACTGTAATACCTATGTTACATCATAGAATGCTTTATTTAGTTATGTTAAACTCCTGTAACTTCTTTTTTTTTTTTTTTTTTGGAGAGGTTTTTTCGCTATAGGGCACGTACGCTCGCCAGAGAGACAGAGAGAGACATAGAGACAGCAAGCGAGAAATCACCCCCAGAGGGGATGGTCACGCTGCAATCCCTTCTCCTCCATTCTCCTCTCGGGATCTTGGGCATGCATGTACATGCAGCCGGCGTGAGTTCTAAGCCACCGGGTCCGGGACGCGAACCGCGGTCGACCACGTGGGAGTCCAGTTACATAGCCATTACGCTAACTGCTGGTTCCCAACTCCTGTAACTTCTACAGAGTAAAATATTTCTATCTTAAAAACTGTACAACAATAATTTTCTTCTTAACTGTACCCACACTATCAGGCTATTTATCTTAAATACTGTTTATCAATTGATGTTCTAATAAAACAGAAAGCATCCCTCAAGGGCTAGCCAGTGGCTTGGTGGTTAAGGTATCTGGATCCCTCATGGCCAAGCATGCCGTTCAAATCCTAGACTGGTGACTTGAAGAACACCCCGGGTATCTGCCCTTCCAAAGTCCTGAGGGAGTAAGAAAAGAAGGAGGAGGAAGGATTGTGGTGTGGCCATCACAGTGTGGGGGGGTGCTTTTTCAGTTTCCTGCTCTCTCTCTTTCTCTCTCTGGTGAGCACATGTACCTGCTGGCAAGATGTTTTAAAATAAATTAAAATTAAACTAAAAACATCCCTCATTTAAATGATGTGGAAATGTTCATAAAGGAAAACTGAAATCACACATTCTCTAGTTTAAGTCATGCAAAACTGTTAAACATTCTCTGAACAGGCCATGTTCTTAGAGCTCTGGGTTATTTTATATGTTGGTTCTTCTGCTTAGAGAATCTCTCTCTGATTAAAAAAAAATCATAACCAACAACAGAAAAGAACTCTTACTCTTTAATACTCAGATCAATTGTAATCCCATCTTAAAGATATCCTTGACTGTCTCATTACTCAAGCAGAATTAAACACATTTTTTTCTGTAACTCATATTATATACATCATTTCTGAGCATTGCATGCTATTGATATGTGAACCTCTATTCCTAACCAAGAATCCCTCAATTATAAGGAGAATGTCTTATTTTCATGTGTTAAATATTTGCCAATAAGTCTAACATAGTAAATATTGATAAATATAAAATCTCGCAAATTATTGATATAATTACATAAAGAAGAGGGAATATAATATAAAACAAAACATTAAGTGTGCTGAATAAATATTTTTATATTTAGTATGTATTTTATATAGCATTAATTTATATTTTATTGTAGATTAATAATAAACTAGTTGCCTCCTGGCTAAAATGGAAAACAAAATACAATTTGTTCTTAATAATCAAGAAGACAGAATTATAGTTATCCTTATGTATACACCCCACATAATCCCCTACTGTAAGAACATCTGAAATGCCAATGATAAAAATATATATGTATGTTAATATTAAACAGAACAAAAATGTCTGCATGCTCAAAACTGGGCAGTAATCCTTAGTTTAGATTTTAAAGCTCAGAACTGTCAGATATTTTACAATGAGGTGCCCCATTTCTTACTCTAAACCCTAAAGCTTTATTAATTTTTAAAAGTTTTCTTTGAAATTTCACAAAATTGAAATCATGTCATAAGCCTTACTAATCTCCAAAGGATATTATCATCATATTGGCTTATATATGCCAGTAGAACTTATTTGAGAAATAGCTAAGAGAAGCTTACAGCTACTTTTAAAAAGACCTAAAAGCAGGTATTTTCTACTAATACTTTATGCTGTTACATGCAGAGACTCTAAATGTACATCTGAAACTAAGATATTAGAGGCCTAGAAAAAGTGGATGCCGCTAATATAAATGTCTAAAAACTAAAGTACATCCAATTTGCATTTCGAAATAGGTACAAATTTCAGTTAGTGGTCTCTTATGCGGTATTTATAGACATGCATTTTGAAAGAGAAAAAGTGGGGTGTTGAACAGAGGGAGAGAAATTGAGAGAGGAACACAGAAGTTGAATGATACTGAACAGTACTAAATTTTAAGTGACCAACTAGAGTAGAGCCATGATATACCATAATAAAAGTCCAATTCTGGTAAGCCATAGATTCAGTGGTATGGCAGTGATGAATATTATCAATATGCATTCCATTTTAATTTTTAAATGACTTTTCAAATAACTCAAATGTGTTGTTTGAACCCAACTTAATTCAGGAGTTGGGTAAGTTAACGAATGTAGAAAAGGAGCTTAATGCCAGACAAAAGCAGAGCAAAGCTGGAAATCTCTTGTCCATACTCTACCTTTTCATCCAAGGCCTTGTGGTGCTCAAACAAAGATTTCAGCGCCTTGAGAACCTCAACTTCACTGGATACTCCTGAGGGGGACTGGGCTTGTCGTTTTACCACCGTCATTCTTAGTGACCTTTCATGCCGTGACACAAGGCACTCCAAATGCTCCAGTAACAGCTGTTGGATTTAAAAGAAAATGAAATTATCTTATGGATGGATACAAGTCACCAATACTCACAATGACGTCCAGCTTAAAAGGTTACTATATTTACATAATACATAGTGATAATCTCAGGTTATAGTACAGGTAACAGCAAGAAAGTACAAACCTGTTTAAAATGGGATTCAGAAATTATATTAAAGATAAATTGCATTTCAATCATAAGAAGCTATTAAATTTTAAAACATGATACAAATATTACGTATCACTTAAGCAAATTTATTACTTTCAAGATAGATTCAGTAGAAGTACTGGGTCATCAGAAAAAAGACATGACACATCTGTGGACAGAAAAACAGAAAAATATGTCGTGACTTTTCTGATGACCCAATAGAACACTCGACACAATATGTATTCTCCAATAGGATCATTCAAGAATATTGCCTGATGCTTGATGACTTTTCATCTATCTTGTGTTTTTCAGTTTTTAATTGATACATAATGGTTCTATATATTCACTGGATACAGTGTAATTTTTCAATACATGAATATAATGTATAATAAGCAAATGAGGGCAATTAGCATACCCATTATCTTAAACATTTACCATTGTGCTGGCAACACTCAAAATCCTCTCTTTTAGCTATTCTGTAATATAAATAACTGTTAACTATAGTTACTCTACTATGCTATAAAACACTAAAATTTATTGCTCTTATCTAACTGTAATTTGTATCCATTAACCAATAACTCCTGTCTTTCTTCCTCTGCTACCTTTCAGGCTCCTGGTAATCATTTATTCTCTACTTCTATGAGTTCAACTTTGTCAGTCTCCACATATGTGTTAGAATGTGCATTTTTCCTCTTTCTGTGCCTTGGTTATTCCATTTCACATAATATGTTCCAGCTCATCCATGTTACTTCAAATGACAAGATTTTATTCTTTCTAATGGCTGAATACTCTTCACACACACACACACACACACACACACACACACACACCATATTTTCTTTATTTTTTAAAGAATTATTTTATTTTTTGTTTTTATTTGTTTGTTTGTTTGTTTGTTTTAATTTGACCAGACAGGAACAGAGACAGACAGGCAGAGAGAGAGGGAAAGTGAGAAAGCAAGCTGCCAGGTTTGAGATTCAAACTGCAGTTGGCCATGTGCGAGTCCAATGCCCTTAACCGCCATGACACCTGCCAACCCCCACACCATGTTTGCTTTATGCACTTTTCGATGGGCATTTAGGTCGATTCCATGTCTTCGCTATTGTATTTTCAGCTAGTGATCTCTTACTTGGGCATTTAGATACATGAGTTTCAGAGACTGAAAGAGGAAGGGAAGTTGAGAGACAGAAGAAAAGGAGAGGGAGAGAGAGAGATAGGTTGAATGTAAATAATGCAATCTTGGTTAGTTGTATACATCCAAAAATTTATCCATTTCATCACGTTTTCTAATTTGTTGGCATATAATTGCTCACAATAGTCTGCAATGATGTTTATATTTTTAAGATATCAGTTGTAAAGTTTCTTTTTAAATTTCTAATTTATTGGGGTTTTCTGTCTTTTTTCTTTAAGTTTAGCTAATGGTTTGCCAATTTTGTTTATCTTTTCATTTCACGATCTCTTGTAATGATTTTTGGTCTTAAATTTTCTTATCTTTGTTCTGATCTATATTTTATTTCCACTAATTTTATTTTGTTCTTGCTTCTGAAATTACTTGATGCACAGCATTCGGTTGTATACTTTAAATATTTGTATTTTTTTGATGTGGGCACTTATTGCTTCCCTCTTGGTACTGTTTAGTACTTACAGGTTTTGGCAAATTGTGTTTTCATCTTACTTGTTTAAAGAAATTTAAAAATTTCCTTATTTCTTCATTAGCCCAGTGTTATTTAGGAACATGTTTAGTTCCCATGTATCTGTATGACTCCCAAAGTCTCTTGTTATTAATTCCTAATGTTTCTCACTTGTAGTCATAAAGATACTCAATATGATGTTACTTTTTAAAATTCTTCTACGGTATTTTGATATTTGTTTTGTGACTTAAAATGCAGACTATATTGGAGAATGTTCCATGTGTTGAGAAGATTGCTTTTCTGCAGCTGTTGAATGAAATAACCTATAAGTGTCTGTTAGTTTCAATTGGTCTGTAGTGCAGTTAATTTTATTTTTTCTATTCACAGAGAAAAGAGCCTCAGTTCATTTTTTAATACTTCTAAAAAACCTGACATTAAAGAACTAAAATGAAATGTATTAATATTTCGGTTTTGTATTTCTACAATAAAGATAAAAATTCATGACTTGGGGGAAAAAAACAAACAAATGAACAAAAACAACAAAACAGAGAGAAACTTTTGGTGCAGTTTAAAACTAATGCTTCCAGGACCAGCAGTTAGTGTAATGGCTATGTCACTGGGCTCCCATGTAGTCGGCCGTGGTTCGAGTCCTGGACTTGGTGGCTTAAAACTCACGCTGGACGTGTGAGTGTGTGTGCCCAAGATCCCAAGAGGAGAATGAAGGAAAAGGGACTGCAGTGTGGCCATTCCCCCTGGTGGGGTGATTTCTCACTTTTTGGCTCTCTGTCTCTCTCTGTCTGTCTGGTGAGCGCACACGCCCTATAGCAAAAATCTCTCCAAAAAACAAAACAAAACAACACAAAACAAAACAAACTAATGCTTCCTTGCTGATTTTTTTTTGTCTAGATGGTCTGCCCAATACTGAGAGTGAGGTGGGGTCTCCAACTATCATTGTTTTGGTATCTATATCTACCTTTAGGTCTAGTAATATTTACATTATACATTTGAGAGTTCTGGTGTTAGAAGAATATATATGAGAGAACTTAATATTTTCTGGAGAAGTGGAAGTATAAGTTTATTTTGGTGCTAAGTATGTTTTGAAATTCATGCACAGTCTGTTCCTGATATGCCTTTTCTGTGAACTTTTTGAAATTGTCTCTATTCATTTTATAGCATTTGTGGTGAAAGAATTTTTTCTGTATATGGATCCAGGATATTGCTTGGGTAGGCAACATAGGTGTTTGTTCTGGGTGAATTTAGTAGTGTTATCTTCATGTAATCTCTTCAGTTGTATTACATGTCAGCAATGTCCACCATGCCTCAGCAGTCTAGGCTGAAAGAGTTTGTGGAGGTGGACTTTCAACTGTGACCTGGCTCTCCAGAAGACAGGGAAGGTTTACAGGTAGGCAGAGTTGCTCCTATAGCTCTGGGTGTGGCTCAAGGCCTGCTGAGGGCAGGCTACTGGGCTGCTTAGGTAAGCTGCGGATGGGCTAGACTGCTCCCAGTGCTGGTAGGCAGCTAAGAATGGGGACGATGGTCTGTCTTGGCAGGTCTCATGTGGGCAACTCACTCTTGCACATGACTGACCTGATGATTTTTTAAGAAAACAGTATCAGAAGTCCCATTGACATTTTTTGAACTGAAAGAAATAAGCATAATCGAAGCTTTGCTCTAAGTCATAGTAGCAATCACATGACTTTAATAACTGCTCTTCAAATTTTATTATAGAAAACTATATGCAACCAACGGCAAGACAGCAATTGAAATTCCCAATAGCCATTTTGGGAAAAGGAGTTAAAGGCATACTTTTCACAATGTTCTGAAAACTATGTCTTCCATGGGAGTTTCTGGGGCTATCATAGAGGTGAGAGAAAGTCCAATAAACAGTTCCTAGACTATTCCAATTTCTTCATACTGCTGACAGAGAAGTTCTGCCTTTTTTTTTTTTTTTTGGAGAGGTTTTTGCTATAGGGCACGTGAGCCCGCCAGACAGACAGAGACAGAGAAACAGAAAGCGAGAAATCACCCCCCAGGGGGGATAGCCACGCCACAATTCCTTCTCCTCTGTTCTCTCGGGATCTTGGGCACATATGCACACGCACCTGGCGTGAGTTTTAAGCCACTGGGTCTGGGACGTGAACTGCGGTTGACTACGTGGGAGTCCAGCGACATAGCCATTACGCTATGTTGCGGTCCCGATAAGTCCTGCTTTTAAATAGGCATTTCAAAAGTTTGTGGGGGGACCAGCAGTTAGCACAATGGCTATGTTGCTGAACTGTAGTTGACCACGGTTTGAGTCCCAGAGCTGGTGGCTTAAACTCACGCTGGGCACATGTGCATGTGTGCCCAAGATCCCCAGAGGAGAATGGAGGAGAAGGGATTGCAGCATGACCATCCTCCCTGGGGGGGGCGCTTTCTCATTTTTTGTCTCTGTCTCTATCTGTCTGTCTAGCTAGCGCACATGCCCTATAGCAAAATCTTCTCCCCCAAAAAAAAATTTGTGGGAAAGGGTATCAAGTACAAATTTATGCAAAAAATGTTTTGTAATTCATGCATAGTTAGTTGTTTTATATAGTACACATTTTTTCAGTTGACTTTTTTTTTTTCCCAGAGGATAGTTCATGTGGTCCTGGGGTGGGGAGAGGAAGAGGGAGGGTGAGAGGGGAAGAGGAGAGAGGGGGGAGGGAGAGAGAGAGAGTGGCAGAGAGAGAAGGAGGAAGGCAGAGAGAGAGAGAGAGAGAGGGAGGGAGGGAAGGAGGGAGTACCCTTATGGATGTGGTCACATTGGAAATGTTTTCCTCCATTTCTCCATCCTATTAGTATTTTGGACATTCAGGCATTCATGACTGTGTTTTTCCAGCCTGAGGGGTTAGGACTGGAACTATGGTTTGCCATCCAGATCCTATGCACAATGCTTAACTGCTGTGCGATAGGACTGATCCTAGGAATATGGATTTTCATGAATGTTTTAAAGACTCCTTGTGTTGTGAATTGGTATTTCATATTTGCTTTTATTTTAAAATGTAATTTTGGGGCCGACAGGTGGTTGGTGGTTAAGGTACCAGACTCCCACATGACTGACCATGGTTTGAGTTTTGGACCTGGTAACTTGCTTTCTCACTTTCTAGTTCTCTCTTTCTCTGGTCAAATTAAAAAATAAGTAATGACGAAAAATTAAAATAAATCATCTTTTTAAAAAAGAGAATTCTGCTGC